TGCTTCCAGTATCTGCTCGTCTCTTTCTGAGCTTTTCAATAAAACATTGTCTGTTGGTAAATTGCCAAAAGAATGGAAACTGTCCAACATTACGCCAAAGAGCGGGTCTTCTAGCAATGTTACCAATTACCGACCTATTTCGCTTCTATCACTTGTATCCAAGGTACTTGAGAGATGTATCTACAACAGGCTTATTGAGCGCTCACATTGGAGAAAAATTACATTATCTGCAGTTTGGTTTCTTGAAGAGCAAGTCAACTACTAGTCAACTCCTGCAGGTGTTACACGACATTGGAAACAAACTAGACAACAAGTGTCAAGTAAACACACTGTACTTGGACTTTGCCAAGGCATTTGACAAAGTAAACCATGAACTGCTGCTTTTGAAATTGAAACGTTTGGGCATCTCCGGTAATCTCCTATCTTGGCTACGTGATTATCTTTCTGGTCGCTATCAGAGGGTGAAAGTTCTCGGCGAGATCTCGAATCCCTTACCTGTTTTATCTGGTGTGCCACAGGGATCGATACTCTGACCACTACTTTTCTTGGTTTATGTCAATGATCTTCTCCTTGGTGCAAGGAGTGGCAGTGTCTTTAAATCACTCTAAATGTCGTCTTCTTCACATTACAAGAAATTCTCAACCGATCCATTACTCAACGTGGAAGGAAACTTAATTAAAAAAATCAACAAACAAAAAGAGACAGATGCGCGGCCAGGATGAAACATAATAATACACTCATACCCGTTGAAGGCTACAGATTGGTAGCCGAAAGCTTGTAATAAATATATATTTTTGGTCAGAGAGCGTCTATTTTATTATTAAACAAAAAGATCTTCAGTTGGTGTTATACGCCTGTATTCTAAAAGCTCACTCACACTCAATGAGTGGACGCTCATTCTCAATGAGTGCAACTCACCACTCAATGAGTGTCCACTCACACTCACATAGTCTGATGCGACACTCACACTCCAACTATTCAAAGACACCACTCACACTCAATTGAAGCTGCGATTTTGAGTAAAGTGTGAGTGAGAGGTATGCGTCCCTTGAGCCGCACTCAGTTAGACTCACCTTGTACTTAGTGATTCAAATATGGTGGACAGGTGGTTAAGAAGGTTAGAATTACTGGATAATGTCACAAGATGGGAAATATGACGTCATGACGAGGAGCAGTTTCGATGCAGATACCGGGTAACTAAGGCTGGATTTCGAGAGTGAGTTACTGGATATAATTAGACCAGAAATATCTGCACACATCGACGGAGGAAAGCCCATTCCCGCACTGATATACAACTTTTGTTTACGCTCAGGTTTTACGCCACGGGAACATTGAATTTGAATTTATCAGTTTGAATTTATTAATTGACATTCCCTAAAATGGGCTTTTCAATGACAATTTACATGGATTTTAGAAGGAATTATGAGTTATCAACTATATATATTTACAACAATCTTATCAAAGTTATTACGCGAACTAAAATTATACTATATATTATACTTATGGTTTATGAGTTAAAAAAGTTAAAAAGAAGGACATCGCTTCTCATAAGAATTGTCTTAAGTTTCGTCTTAAAATTGTTCAAATCACTAATTGATTTCAGCTCTGTATCTAGACCATTCCATATCTTAGTCCCTCGGTATTTGAACGATCTTTGACAGATCGATGTCCTATATTTTGGAATATCCAGGTCTCCATTTCTTATAGTATCTCGGTTATGAATTCTGTTTCGTTGTTCAAAATTATCGCATAAATACTGTGGAGCTTTGTCATTCATGCATTTAAATGTTAATAACGCATCTCAATACAATAGATGTTCTTTGATTGACAACCATACTAACGCGTTTAATGTCGGTAATATGTTTGAAGACACTCACGAAGATAACCAGAGGTGGTTCGCTTACACAACACGTGACCCAGACTAGATCGAACGAGCATAATTATTTTATTAGATCATTAAATAATTTATCAACTTATAAATCTGCCAAAATATTAATTTGCTATAATATGCGCGTCATCCTCGCGCGTGCGAGTGCGCGCGAGGGAACTCCTTAAAAATTTGCTTTTTTAGCAGTCCAAAAACACTGTTTTGGAGTAAAAACGTATAATAAAGTCGTCTAACTGTATCAGGAACTTGGACTTGTGAATTTCTGAAGAGTTTGATTCAAGAAAGCGTCGTTTGGAGTGTTTTATTTCTTCGAAAGTCAGGGGATTTTTGTTTTAGCATTTTACGCCAGTTGAACGTTTGCTTACGCCACACGTCATCGTCATCAACGGTCATCGCAAACACGTAATTAAATTCGTACGTTATCGAACTACGCGAGTTCAATAAATTAATACAAACAGAATAAATCACGTGAGTGTAAACTTTGAATTCAGAAATGGTTTTAAAAAACACTTCAGATGGAAAGAAAAGTCTAGTTAAGATTGGACGCTTCATAATTAACATGTTACTTCTTTTTTCAATTTTGAAACTGTCTGTGAAAGTTAATCGAGAGGCTAATAAGACCCAAATTACAACAGAAAACATTTTAATCTGCTCCGAACTTGTTTCTCTGCCCGAAAAACTATGCTATGTTTGGGTTTCCACCCGTGATGTTGTTTTAAGAAAGTATAACTTACCATGCAATAACCAGCATCGCTACGGCTTAAACTTACAAATTAACCGCAAGATCTCACATGCTACTCTCTACTACTCTTGCTTGCCGGAGATATCGCAACGAATCCTGGACCTTACAAACACACGAATCGTGAAAACCAGTTCGTAAAATGTCTCGCACTCATTGCTCGAAGTCTGATGAGTTTACATAAAACCAACATCGGAAACAATTTGACAGATACTAACATTGAACGCTTCCAGAACTTGGTCTATTCTAAAGATCCCGATATCGTTTGTGTCAACGAAACGTGGCTTAATGAGGATATTGAGGATATGACATATTCAGGAACGATCGCGGATCTCGTGGTGGTGGAGTACTGTTAGCGATAAAGATTTCTTCATTTAAATCAGTGCGGGAAATTCAACATGGTCATGATTTGGAGATCTC